GGGGGACATCTGACCGCTCCTGCGGTGGCAGCCGGAGGTGCCCAGGGTGAGGGGGCTCTGCGGGAAGGGGGTGAGGGGCCAGGCTGGGGCTGTGCATGGTCCTGCTCTGCCATGTGCTTCTCCATCGCAGGAAAACACTTGCATGGACCCAGAGCTGAGGGGACCACCATCATTCGGGACCCCCCTCCCGTGCCCATGGCCCTCCACGTCTCCTCCACTTCGAGGGGGCTGCGGGACGGAGGCAGTGCTGTCCCATCCCACTGCACAGAGTGCGGGACTCCCGTCTTCCCCGGCCGGGGCGAGGAGGCACAAAGCAGTTCCTTGTCCCACTCCATCCCTCCTTCTTGGCACAGCAGAGTCGGGGTCCCCGGCTGGTGCTGAGCCCTGACCCTGCTCCCTGCCCTTGGAGCGGGCAGCGGGTGAATGCTCAGCATTTTCAGCATGCCTGGAGAAGCCTTCATCAGCCGCTCCCATGTGCCATGCCTCCTCCTCCTCCTCCACGGCATGGAGGAGCAGCACGTTGGGCTGCCCAGCGTGGCCCACGGCCACGGCTCCCCTCGCCCAACCGGGAACAAACCCGCTCTGTGAGCGCACACAGAGGAGCCTTCAGCGGCGTGGGTCCTCGTCCCCCCCTCCTCATCCTCCCCCGGAACCCCAGGCCCATCAATAGCGGGATTGTACAGAGCCGGGGCAGGTGCCGGGAGCGGGGGCACGGCCGGCGGCACGGGGCACGTAAACCCCCACGTCTGTTTGCTCGGCATCGGAGAGCCCCTGCCAGCCCTGCCCAGTGTGGTGGGCAGGGGACAGGCACCCCTGCCTGCACCCTCCTCTGGCGGGGTATGATGGCACGTCCCTGTCCCCCGCAGACCTGGACAAACTGCTGTCGGACCTGCGGTCCTTCCTGCTCATCCTGGACCGGGAAAGCCTCAGCACCGCGGCTCGGGCCAAGAAGAAGTCGGTGGCCGATCTCCTCTCCCGGCTGCAGAGCCCCCCGTGTGAGTGTGGGTCTGCGGGTAGGGGGGGGACGGGGCAGCCCCCCGCTTAGTGCCCGGTGGGCAGCAGGGAAGGGGCTGGGAGCGGGGCTGTGACCGGGCGCTCCCCCCGCAGCAGAGGATGCAGAGTACATGATCATGCGCTGCCTCTCGCCTTCCCCAGGGACCCCGCAGGGCCGGGCCAGCCCGGGTGAGTTGCATGTTCTGACCTGTACCCCATCTCTGCCAGCGGCTCACCGTGTGTGGCCGGGGATGCCCGGCTCCTCACCGACCCGGCACGTGGCTGCCAGTCCCGCTTTTCTCCCCAGGAACCAGGATGGTGGATGGAACAGGAGGGAGAGCTTGTGAGTGCCGCCCGGTCAGCACCCTGAGCCTGCATGGAGGGGTAAGGGGGTGGCGGAGAGGTTGGGGGGCTGTGGGTGCACGAGAGGGGCTTGTGCTGGGACAGGGGATGGGAGAGGGGCACCCGGTGACCATCCCTGCACTGCAACCTTGCTCGCACGGGCATCCGACCAGGCCGGGAAGGTTCCTGTGCTGTCTGCCAGCTTTGGGCAGAGCCCCCCAGCAGTCCCTTGGGGACCCCGTGAGGTTCACCCCAGGGGGGCAGCACCTTCAGAGCATCCCTTCTCTCCCCAGAGCAAGGTGCCGGGCATCTCGCCATTCCCACCAGCCGATGACTCCTACGAAGATGCCGAACCCCTTGGCCTCGGCAGATGCACCGGCTCCGGTGAGCACCCCACCGCACCCCCTCCCCAGCACCCACATACGCCCAGCACCCTGACATCCTCCCGGCTCTCAGGCGGTGCTGACACCGACAGCAGCCACTATGAGTCATACGGGGAGGATGAGGATGGTGTGACGGACCGTGCCCACTACCTGCGGCGGCCGCCGGCTGCCGGCCCCGATGCCGAACCCCTCGGCCGCCCCGAAGCACAGCTCTGCGGCTTTCTCTGGAGGAAGCGCTGGCTGGGGCAGTGGGCAAAGCAGCTTTTCATCGTCCGGGAGCATGTGCTGCTGGTGAGAAGGCTGGAGGAAGACGGATGGAGGGTGGGAGCAGGTCTCCAAGCTCTGCCGACCCCGCCGTGCTTCCGTAGTGCTTCAGGTGTGCCGCCGACCCGCAGCCGGTGCTGGAGCTGGACCTACGGGGCTGCCACGTCGCCTACAAAGCCAAGCGTGGTAAGAAGATGCCGCACAGCCTGAAGGTGACGGGGACGGCGGGCGAGGCGCTGGTCATCGGCTTCCAGAGCCGGCAGCAGGCTGAGGACTGGAGGAAGGTTTGGAGGTGTTGCAGCCTGGCAGAGCTCTGCATGGGCAGGAGGGAGGGGTGGGCAGGGAGAAAACGGGCACGCAGCCCTTCTGGGGTGCTCCTGAAGTGGCTGGGGATGACCCTGTCTGTCCCCAGCTCCTCTCCCATCTGGGGGTATCTGGAACCCTGTTAGATGGGGGAGCAGGAGCCCGGGGCTGCAGCACTCCCCCTCTCCCTCGGCAGGTGATCGAAGAGGTCAGCAGCGATGCCCCGAGCGGGCTGGCAGCCATCAGCATCCCGGCATCACCTTCCTCGAGGTTCGGCAGGGTGAGCCGCTTGTCCTTCCCCCGGGAAACCCAGGCACGGGAAAGGGGCTGCCAGGGGTCTCGAGAGAATGCCCCGATTCCCTGCCCTGCTGTCCCCGTTGGGTGATGCTGGGGAGGGTTGCATTGCCGTAGGGTGGGGGTCAGGGTGCAGGGGGCTTAAAACCCGCTGGGGACAGGGCTCTCTGGATCTCCATTCTCAGGCTGCCGGCTCCCAGCTCAGCAAGGAGGAGAAGGAGGAGGAGGATTGCTCCCAGCAGAGCCCTGCCCGCAGCCCCCAGCCCGGAGAGGATGCTAAAGGAGGTGCTGTGTGTGGGGACCTGGACGACGGGGTGTCCCTGCACCCTGTGCCACTGCTGATGGGGGATGCACCCACAGGTTTCCTGGCGGTGCGGCTGCGCGGGCGGTGGCAGCGGCTGTGGTGTGCGGTGCGGCAGGGAGCCCTGCGTATGTTCCCCGAGCCCGGCGGTGCCCAGCGCCCCGTCTGCGCCCTGCGGCTGGAGGGCTGCGAGGTCTCCCCGGGGGCGGCCGCCGGGTCCCCCCAGCGCCTCCGCATCCGCATCGCCCAGCGGGGCCGGGAGCTCGCCCTGCTGCAGGTGAGCAACCGCCGTGGCACCCCAGCACCCATCGTGTTCCTCGCTGGGGCGGGGGGGGGGTAGACCCGCTGAGCCTGGACCCTCTGCCCCGTGCCAGACCTGTTCGGATGAGGAGAGGGAAGCCTGGTTGAAGACCCTCCGGGCCAGGGGAGGAGGGGAGCCAGCCGGCGACAGGGCCCCCACCGAGACCCCCAGGCTGGCCGATGCCAGCAGCTGCCCTGCTGCGGGGTAAGGAGATGCTGGCCGGGGCACGGCCGGCCCCAGCCCTCCTGCTCTGCTGCGGGGCTGCAGGCAGTAATGGGACCCCCCTCCTTCTTGCAGCGGGCTGCTGCTGCGCCGTGTCCCGACCCCCAACGCCTACATGGATGACCCCTTCGGGCAGCTCGCACCGACCGAGGTCCCCAAGCACCTCTACTCCAATGTGGAGCGCCTGCAGCAGCTGGTAACCTCTGCTGATGCACCTTGGCACCCCCACACAAGCCCCAGGGTGAGGGGGACAGGATCCCACCATCCGCTTGCCCACGGGTTTCTCCTGGGCTTCTTTCCACAGCCGCAGAGCTTGGACCGAGCAGTGCCGGGCCAGCGCAAGAGACCCGTGTCTGCACTGCCCGCCGGTGCCTGCAGCAATGCCCTGGGCAGTGCAGGTGAGTAAAGGCTGGATGCTCCATCCAGGGGAGCAGTGGGGTCCCCCCATGCACCCCAGCCCTGGGATGGAGGTTGCGGTGCCCACGAGCATGGTGGTGTGCCGCGATTCCTCTGCCCTTCCTCCTGAGCATCCTTCCTCTGCCCTTCCACCCCAGCATCGGCGGCAGCTCTCCAGGACAGGGCTGCCAGCCCGCAGCGGGCGAAGGTGAGCCCCGAGCTCCGGAGCAGGGATCTCCCCCAGTCCCAGCGCACCCTGACGCTGCCCGAGAGGAAAGGGGCTCGGGACGGGCTGGATATCCTCATCGGTAGGACGACAGAGGGGATCTACCCCTTTGCCGGGGGGTGCCTGGCCTTTGCCCGAGCAGCCGGCGGGGTTGAGGGGTACCCGGGCTTGGCAGTGCCCCTGCTGTCCTTGCAGGGAAGAGAGCCTTCCCCAAACTGGAGGAGAAGGTGGGACAGCTGGAGAGGGCCTGCCGCATGAAGGGCAGGCTGAAAGCCGGCTCCGAGATGAACCTGCTGGCCATCGGCAAGTCACTGAAGGGTCACATCGCCACTACTGCCAGCTCGGCTGGCTCCGAGGTTGGGGGGACACTGGGGACAGGCAGAGGGTGTGGGGAGCATGAAGGGTTCAGGAGGGCAGGCATCGCCCTCTCTCCGCTTCGTTTTTCCGGCAGGGTTCATTCCTCGCGCCGCTGTTGAAGCGCACCGCATCGGCGAAGAGTGCCCTGAAGCCATCTCCCTCCCCGGTCCTCATCGAAAAGGGAAAAGTGCTGCAGAAGAGAAAGGTACCGGCCGGGACCTGCATGGGGTGGGCAGAGTTAAGGTGAGCCGGGTACCACACGTGGCGGTGGGATGCAGGGGGTTGACCACCCGTCTCGGCCGCTCTCCAGGAGTGGGAGATGAAGTCTGCGATGTGACCAGTGCTGCAGCGGCCCCGGGGCAGCCCCCGACACACAAACGTACCTGCTGGACCGGGCATCTCTCAGCAGAATGTAGGGCTGCACGTGGATCGTGCAGGACCGGCCTGGTATCTGTTTTTTAACCATCAATATCAATGCTACAACTACGCACATCTATTTTTTATATATATATATATACATATAAACTCTCCGTCTGTGGGTTTCTAGTTTCTCTGGCATGAGGGCTGGAGGGTGGCGAGCCCCTCGCAGGCTCGCTGCCTTCTGGCCCATCCCAGCACCTTGGTTTTGGGGCACAGATTTTGTGGTTGCAACCTCGTGAGCTGCTGGCTCTGTCCCTGATGCGGGTCTGGTCAAAATGGTGCACCGGCAGCACCCCAGTCGTCCGTCCCCCCCACCCAGGGACACCCACTCACAGGGCTGGGTGTGGATACACCCCGGACCACGCAAGCTGGGGGGGGACACGCAGCTGGGGGCTGCTTGGGGCACTTAATTGCACCTTCCCTGGAGTTGGCGGGACCCGGGCTGGGCCCTGGGCTGCTTTCCAGCAGCTGTGTTTGTCATGGCTTGTTTTTAATTGTAGAAACATGTTGGGGTTTTTTTAAGGATTAAAAAAAAAAAAATTAAAAAAAATGGTAAGACTTGGCTTCTACCGGGTTGTGCTGTGGGAAGAGGTGAGCTGGGGAGGGGGCTGTTCTTGTCCTAGGGAGAGGGGGGGGCTGTCCCCATCCCAGTGCGAGGTGTGCAGGGGGGGCTGTCCCCTTCCCGGTGCACGGGGGGTCCGTGTGTGTCCCCCAAGGGCTTCCCCCGAGCAATTTTAGGTCTAAGGGACCTTTCCAACCCCCCCC